CCACTTTTGAGCACCTCGTAGGTGTCATTCAGACATGCGGTTGTGCTTGTATGTCCTCGCATTTTGACGACCAGCTGTCTCTCTGACGTAATTGCATTCCCATCGACTGTATTTCAGTCAGTTAATAACAATAGCATAGTTTCTACTTACTCATGGCGTCTGCCACAACTTGTTCACTGTGCTTTCACCTGATGCCAGTCGCTGCTGGCAGTGTGACTCGCTGTGTGATGTATTCGCTTATCCGTCAGTTGCACCCATTGGTAGAGTACGCGAATATGGACCCTCCATATAACAGATGACCTTGTGCTAAATCCTAGGGGGAGGGGTGACTTAGGGTGGGGTTAGGGGGATCATCACTAAGTGGTTTAGGATAACGAGAATCGCCTGGGAGCTAAAGTGCCATTTGGCAGTCGATTCCGGTTTGGTCGAAGGAGGATTTGCGATAGCCTGGATCAAAGCTTCATCTTACCGGCATCTTAAAGCTATCTAGCATTATCTCAAAAGTCCCCGACTGGACTAACTGTTTTTTCATCACCCGTTTATGCTATAAACTCACGCAGTGTAGATCTTTTTCTGCAATTGTACTTGCCTAATGATGGATCCTCTGGGCTTCTGCCATCATACGGAACCCTCATTTGCTGCTGATATGACAGCTACGTCCAATCAGAAAGTCACAAGATCGAATGGACGTTAGTTTGGCTGGATTTTGGACGGTGAACATGTCTATAACGCCGATAAAGCTGCTTAACAAGTTTGAAATTCAGTCATGCATTTATGCAAAGAAGGCGAGAACAGATGCTAGAGCCGGTTAAAAATACCTCGGCCCATGACTGTGGGATTCCATATCTAAGCACTCCTAATGTATTCGCATACTCATTTGGCAATTCGACCTTTTCAAGCGATGACTTTCACCGTGTGTCCAACGAAGTTGATGCAGCATCAGTGAGACTTGCGCGTGAATTAGTTTATTGTGAGGCAGATTTGGACAGCATCCTCTACGGTCAGCCCATGCTCCGGTGGCGAGACAATGTCAAGACGAGCGGAGATGGGTTCGGACGCACTGATTGTCAAATCCGAACGACCGCCTACACGCGCAACACACATGATCCGTCGCCACTACATGTATCGCGTTTCTATGGGTGCGATCCGGTACTGACACCGCTGAGAGTACCACAAAGGCCACATTAAGAAGGGCTTTTTTCTGTCAGATCCCAGTTATGAGAAGGAGCGAGTTATTCAGTCAGTCGGCTGCCTTCCAGACCACGGCCCTTAACGCATTGTGATAAATTCGAGGTCGCGCTGACTTGCCTTGGAGATGGATTGCCAAATACCGGCCTCATTTCCGTATTAATTAGTAGTCAGTCCATGCACTCATGGATATCTATGGGTGTTAGCTAGAGGAGAGGGGGAGGACAAGATTTTCATGTTTATCATTAGATAAGCCAATGAGCGTTTGTCGGTGGCCGAGGGTCCCGCGTGTGAATGCTGTCTCGGTACTTTTCATCTGGCTGTCCGGAAAGAGTTTCCGATTGATTTGGTTCGCGGGCCGGTGATGACCTGCAGATTCCATAACTAAGGCGAAAATGTCAGCTGTCATCCACTGACTTCACTGTGTTAACTGGGAATGCAATTACAACGGACAAAGCGGTCGAAGCCTGCAGAGGTGGATGCGCAAACACCAAGTGACTACGCATAGATTAGCTCAAAGGCCACTGGTCAATTTGAGTCAAACCTTAATGCATCCAGCGTCATAGACCGATGTGATGATTGCGAAGCAAGGCAGTCTGCCCTACTGACCCGTCTGTAGCCTACACGGCGTTGCTTCATTGCCTGGAAATAGGCCAAATGTTCGGGGAAGTGAGGCAGAGCGTTAAACTCTCCAACTTGCCAATTTTCGGCGCAGAAAATGAGAATGTATGCGAGACTGACTGCGACTGAAATGAGGTTTGCATCGCACCAGTTGGCGATCTACAAGGCAGGTACCAGGAAAGGCCGCTGACAAAGAGGAGGGGAGACCGAACTTGTTAACCTCCCCCCATTGCGATTATTATTAAAGCAGAAATCTCACATGAAACCAGCTTCTCCGTAATCCGTGTGTCCACATCTAGTGGATACTGGTCATATAACATAATAACTAGACCTGGCTGGTCTAGTTCATATAACGGGGCCAGATTTTGTACACGAATTTGTCAGCCTTGGAAAGGATCCAGGCAGTACTTATTTGATTTAATACACCTTAGGATGATGTTGTTGTTCCGACAGTAAGCAGCCTCTAAGCCAGCGCAGTGAACGGAGTACCCTTAGTCCTCGCTCATCGTATGTCATGCGAGCTCACGCAAGCAAGTATAACAATTCAGCCGCCGTTGCTGACACTAGTAGACAGTGCTGTGGGATTGGGGTTTGAGTGGTACCTGGCTATAAGGTGTGTGCATACGACCGGAAAGGTCCGTGCAGACACTGAATGCATGACCTTGGACTGTGAACTGGGTGGACTTGAGTAAAACGGTGGTATTTAAGCGTTAGTTGTGACGTGTGCAAGTACAACTACATAGGTTTTCGCGGTGGCTGAACACGCAGGGACAGGGAAGATAGGGATGCCAGGTGGTCACCTGGGCGCCAGTAGTGACTGATCCTCACAATGCACGATTGGAATATACGGTGACAAATACGGCCAATTCGGCTCCAAATCTACGTTGCCGGTGGCGGTGCTGATGGATGTTCTCTATAACCTGGTGTCTTTCAGCTTGCGGTTGTCAAGAAGATGCTCGACCAGGGTAAGCGGCAGTCGGAGCACGGTGTAACAGCGAGAACAGCTGTAAGGATTTTGATTATTTTATGAAGATATATTGGAAATGAAGACATTGCAGTGAGTCTAAAGGCGTCCGGCAAGTCGAGCCCGGACCCCGAACGTGCGCTGACAATGGGATGGTTTGGTGTCGGCGCTAGAGACCTTTGTCCACGTCTTTTCGTCTCGGTCTCCTCTGCACGGTTGACTCCTAAAACAGCCGATATATTTCTGGCGGCTGTTCGTCATGCATGCCAGTCCCATAAAAGCGTTTCCCGGGTACCTAGACGTTACCAATAGAAAAAGCCCTTCCGCAAATGCCCTTTAGTAATCTCTACGATGTTTCGGTAAGATATGGTTATGCAGCCGAACCTGATGGACACAATACTGCTGGGGTTAAGGTTAGGGGCTATGGTTAGGGGGTAGGATTAGGGGTTAGGGTTATGGGGTTAGGATTAGGGCAATTATTTCTCAACCACTCAAGGTACAACCGCGCATTCCCAATAGCTTTTCCTTTGTATACAAACACTTGACCTCGTCGGCTATGCGCTCCTCGGCCCTACCTGTAAAAACCCTTATTACCACCGGTTCTCCATTGCAAGTGACTGGGGTTTGTTTACCTCAGGTGCGGCTCCATAACCATATCTGACCGATGTTTCTGCCCCTTTTCAGCTAGATTTGTTTAAAATGACATAGATTCTCTACATGCCAGCACTTGGGTGTCTAGGATCAGTTTCGGCCACTTCGCTTTTAACATCCCACGAAGGTTGGACATTCTCACTTGACATTGGTAGATTTTCCAGCTCTCTGTGTGGCAGTCTTGTGAGTCTTGAGCTTCGTGCCGGGAAATGCCGGCTTGTCTGTATCCTAGACGCTGACCTCAATGACTTGTGAAACGGCACTGTCCAGGATGAGAAGCGATCTACTGTTCTGAGGTTAACATCGTTGACAGTTGTCTTGTGCTCGGTGCGTTCGACTAGTAGTAGTAGTTTGTGGATGACAACCCCTTTCCGAATGGTACCATATTTACTGAATGGGAAAATCTTCTTACACAGGACATCGCCGTGTAGGGGAAATCCAGCCGATTACCTCCATCTGGTCTAGTCTCCTGGTTGAAGTGGCTGGGGGGGAGGGGGTGTTGTCACTGAGCAGAGCACAGTTTCGGGGAGCCACATATAACAGCTGGGAGCCATTGAAGGAGCCCAACAAAGAAACGTTTTCTTGCATCAGGCTATTTGAGCGACCTGTCATTCCTACGCAATGCAGCCCCTAACTGTACATCCCGTAACCCTCCCACCCCCAAGGTAAAATCGCCAAATTTAAACAAACATTGGAGATGATTGAAGTAAGTACATGTCCTAGTAGTGGAGCAATCTATCACTCCTACAGGCGGTATCCCCCAGATTTGACGCCGTATACACCCCGAAACACAATGCTAACAGTCCCATGACAGGCATTTTCTGGTTCTCCGTCTGTATGATAAGTCTTTCGAAAAGTTATCGCTGCACAACAGATTAACCGCTGAGAACAACGACATTCACCGTGTGCGCCAAGAAGTGGTAGTCGCAGGAGGGTGACTTGCGCGTTATGTTAATTTGTAGCGGGGCAGACTTGTGCAGCATCTACCGCACTCTCTCTTCCCCCACCCACCTAGCTCCGATGCCACGACAACGTCAAGACGGCTGAACCCCGGTCGACAAAGCTAAACAGCCCGTCTGGGCCCGATCATACAGGACCTAACCCTCATTGTATGTACCAGGCTTTCACGAAGGCTGCTAGGATCTCTTTTTCTTCTGTGTCGTAGAGATCACATTAAGAAGGAGCCATTGCAGTCCCACTTTCGTTCCTCGGAAGGACCAAGTTCTTTTTCCAGTTACTAGGAGCCTTTCAAGTCAAACCCCTAGCGCGTCCTGATGGATTCGAGTGCCTCGGATTTGTTCTAGTGAAGAATACGCTGATGCGAAGATTTTCCGATGTTGACCCCACCCTCTCTCCCTGCACTCGCACAGCGCGACAAACGCGCGGCGCGAGCCAATATGACACTCGTTTCAGTACAGTGCATCAACAGTGCAGCCCGTTACGGAGGCCACACTTGACTTGCGTGCGGGCATTAAGTTGGCTGGGCTTTTCCGTGCCACGTGGTGGTATTGATTTACGCCCGAACTATGTGCACCTATCAGCATTCGACCTTCAAGTTGGCCCACCTTGGCGAGATATGCGCGAGACCTCCGCTGAGCAGAAACTGCTGCGGGAGGTTCAAGAACTGCGCAGCGAGCTAAACGACACGCGCAGGTCCTTCTGCGATGTCACACTGGCCACAAAAGTCCAAGAGAATGGCATTGATACGTTGGAGAATCTTCCACACTTCCGCGCGGTTCACCAGCTGAGAGCACACTCCAGCAGGGTCCACCAGGTCGTCTGGTCCCCCTACGATGACATCCTCATGTCAGTGGGAGCTGACTCCTTTGTCGGGGTTTGGGATGTGAAGCGGGGTCTCCTCAGGAATCTCGTCGACACAACCATGAACCAGACCACCACGGTTGACTGTACACCCGAACTTGACATTGTATACTGCGGTGGTCTTTACGCCAAGGTGGAGGCATACACTTTGAATCATCGCTCGGCGGAAGACGGCTACTCCGAGTACACTGCTTCAACTGTGTTTGAACACGAAGGTCGCATTAACGCGGTAACTTGTCTGAAGGATAAGGGCCTCCTGACTGCCGCGGCTGTAGATGGCGCAGTGCTCTGGGACGTGGATAGCGTGAAAGTTATATCAAAATTCAACCATCAACCGGCTGACGTTCTCTGTCTCCTACCACTCACTTCTAACGGTCAGAACTTCATCACCGGTTCATCGGATGGCGTTCCACGAGTTTGGGACAAACGAGAGGCCACACCCTTGGTCTCGACCATGGGCGGTCACGAATCGGAACTCACCTGCATAGAAATGCTGCCAAACGAGACCACCTTTGTGACGGGCTCAGATGACACCAGTCTGCACCTCTACGACCTACGTCTAGACTTCCCAATTGCGCGCTACACAAAGCCGGAGGTGAGCGCCCTGGGGAGGCATTCGCTTGCACGTTCACGAACAATGTCCGAAAACTGGAGTTCGGAGAACGGCGGGCAGGTGACTACAGGCGGAACCCGATCGGCCGGCGACAAGGAGAATGAGGAGGATTTAAACACCACGCCCGGTGTGAGTGGTATTGGAGTCTCCACTTCTGGACGCATCGTACTGAGCGGATGCCGGGATTCCTACCTCTATGTGTGGGATCTCTGCGATACGACTGGAGCAGTGGAGGTCTTGAGGCAACCGGGGCCGGTAATGTCTCTAAAGATGGCGCATGACAAACACGCCTTCGCCCTCATGACCTGGGACATAAAGACAAAAATACAAATTTTCCGGCCAACGTGATTCCGCGGATTTCATGTGAAAAGTGATGTTAACTGTGCATTTATGTATTTTTGACTATTTTTTTAAATGGGTGTACTTAGTTTTTGGGAGTTAGAATTAATTTTTCATATTTCTTTTGTGAATAACCTTGCAAGCAACTGCATATTGTTTACTCATAAATATTTTTGTGTTCCACGGGGTGACCCCCAGTCCTTTGTAGTCACAACCTATGGAAAACGTGAAGGTTTGCAATGGTCGAGGAGAATGAGTTTTGGTGATGTTCTGATTTGGGTTCCCATAACTGATTGCCCTATTGCGACTAACAGGCTTGAGACATGCATTAGACGGAGGACATATATCAACTTAGTAAATGCGCCCGATCTCAATTTCAACCCGTTTGACGCACACTCGTCACTGACAAATGTTGTGATAGGAGGGCAGAGGCTAATCGAATTTGTACTTCTTCACAATAGCAAATCCGATATAGAGTTACGCTGTCGCCATGGCCGAAAGAATTACGAACTGGCAGGGTCAATCAGCTCAGTGAACTGGGAAGCATGCTTCTGTGGACCTCCTTAAATGTTGTATCGGCGATTTCCGCCGCTGTAACAACTGAATTAACAAGGCTGCTGTCATACGGGTTTGGTCTGGCGCGCGCATGAGACGCGTAGATGCATAAGGATGTCCAATCATCAACCTTACTCACAACTTCCCTAACAATCACGATGTCATAATGCAACTGAGAGACAATGAGTACGGGGAAGGACTGTGAGGTGGCTGCTACCTAAGCTCTCCTCTTGAGAATCCACATTAGCCGCAAATCACTGTTATACTGTCAGGAAATTCTGTGTTTCCTTTATTCGAACACGTGAGCTTTTGACCATGTGACAACGCTCCAATCTGGTGTTCATGTAGCTTGAATCATACTGGATCGCCAGGAAAGCTTACATAAGGCGTTAGGCTATGCGGTTTGACCAAAAATTTTAAAGTTGAAGTTTTCTGTGGATCTCCGTGAACAGTATAACAATCAGCCTGCCTACCCAGGAACGAAAATATTTTGGTTGTATGTTTTTGACCGGACTGGCGCGGCAGACTTCGTGGAAGTTGACACATTAGCTGAGCGAGCCGAGCCCCTCGGAGCTGTGTCATGCCTCGTCAGAATATCGGCAAAACATGTGGCTGGGTTCTCAGTATGGCAAATCGTGCAACGTGAATTGGCTTTATTCGAAATAAGCGCCCTCGATGATTTTTGGGTCCTTATCGATTATTCCTCTCGACATTTATCGATCCACTGGGAGTCATTCATTAGGTTCAAGTTGCTGCAACCGCGCACTTTCTTTCCTGCAGATAAGGAGCGCGTGATTTAGACTCAGTGCAGCAGTCGACGTCAGCAGACGTCATTTTAGTACAAATTGTAGGATCTTAAACAAAAACGATAAAACATATACTCCCACTGTCAGCGCACGTTCAGGACCCGCGTTCGATCTGCCGGTCGCCTTTAGATTCACCGCAATGTCAACATTAGCAATTTATTTTGATAAAATAATAAAACTCCCCTGCGTCAAAAAGATCGGCGGTGGGAGAGGGCGCAGGGGGCTAGCATGACGAAAACCCGCACCCAGGTTTACCACCACAACCCTGATTCAAAACGTACAGGGAACAGTATTCTAAACTACAACACAAATGCAAGACGGCGCTGAGTGGGCCGGCAGATGGGTGTGCGACCGCACCCAATGTGGATGCGCATTCACGATGACGCCTACCGAACTCCGACTTAGCTCCCATGTTGGTCCAGCGCATCTGCCGCCTGGCCCATTTGAAGGGCACTCATAAACATGTACTGATAAGGGCAGAATATTCCGGTAGAGATTGCACCCAGCATTATTGCTCGGGCACAAGTTTTCACCTCCCAAATCCCCTACCGCCAACGTCTGTCTTGTGTCCTAGCGGAGCATTTGATTCCGGCTGTGCAAAACAACACCTGGATGTCTGCATAAAAGGTGTACTCGTTAGTACTCCTTGCCATCTTGAAAACGTCAGCAGTCGGACGTCCGAATTGGCAATCACACACGTCATAAAGACAAATTATTTGTTGTACACATTTTGTCCTGAGCACATTTCGCAAATGATTAAATCCGGCGTTTACAATACCGCACTGGCGTTAGATTAAAAAGGTATGCATGTTATTATCAGTAATCGAAGTGGAGGTAGGACCCGACATCAGTATAAAAAGCCAACAGTCACGGGTACCTTTCATCACACGAGAAGGCAAACAGGATCTGAAGCTTGATGAAACCACCAAGTTTCCGGTGTCATATTTAGTTGAACAAAGCTGATTAATTTTTTGAACTTTTGCACTCTCTATACATCCTCTTTCACCCTCCTCACACAATCGGTCTTGTCCGTCTTTCAGCTCCCATTTCCTGTTGTGTTTTCCACACTTTGCCAGTTTTAGTCAACTTCATTTTCCGCTCTAACGACCTTAAGCATTTTCTATAGGTTTCAGTTGTAATGCATTCTCCGCAACGTTTCCAGGCGTTCTTGACTTCCTCTCCGCTAGTTGCCTTGCCTGCCCTAATCACCCCCTTCTGGGTTTCCCACGGTGATGCCATCGCACATTTCTTTTCTGTGGAAACTGCCAGCGAGAATCCGATCACCTTACTACATCGATTCTTCATATTAATGGTCACTCTCTAAGCAAATCCCTGACAGCCCTCGGTCCCTGTGTCTTATGCCGGAAATAATTTGGCACATTGCCCACAGACATGGACAAGTGCGACGACTGTGGCGTCCAGACCATCCTGCGTCTACCTTAACGACCAGAAAAAACTTTTCATCCAACCTGATGGAAAGAAATTTGCAGATGTAAGCTGTTTCAAGGCGCCATCCCAGATGCTCCCATGGATGTAGTCAGCTGTGCTCAGCTTCATCACCTTTCTTCCTCACTTCTTCTCACTCATAATCTGTTACTCATTCATCAAAAGGATGCATCGTTAACCATTTGCAGTTGCGGACACAGCAACTACGTTGGAAAAACCGGAAGAATGAACCGGACGCGAATGGCCGAAAACGCGGCAGCGGTGCGGAGAAATGACGCCAACTCTCAGGTCGCGGCCCATTCGACGAGACCCGGACGCGCATTCAGGTTCGATGAGGCCGAAATTCTCGCAAGAGGGGGTAGTCGCGTGAGCCGCGAGTTGCTTGAGTCATGTTTCACGGGACCTCAGTATATCAATAAGTGCAACGACATCCCCACTCCATATTCCGCACTGAGGCATAGTTTAGTCTGAGTAATCAAACAATCGGGGAGCGCACAGACCGGTGAGCTAGATGGCCGAGCATTCATCACGCCATCACCCAACACGGATGATGAGATTTCAGAAATTAACGACTTGCATGCCGGCCATCAAGCAATGATCGTACCAGCGGGCAACAATTCTTAATGAAGGGAAGAACCGTTAATTATCATAGGTATGCGGTAGCATAGCGACTGCATCCTATGAGTACTGCAACTTCCTGTGCACGAATTATCTGCTTCTGTTACTGTCTCTGATGTTGGGTTTGAGTGAGAATCGCAAAAGTCAGGTGAATAAAGCCCTTGTTCCAGCGGTCGCTTCCACTTCTTATCTTATGGAAAGGAAGGTAAGTACTTTAGTAGTAGTATACCTAGGGTAATAGGCAATGGCCTTGATAAACCTATTGAAAATAGCACATACAATATTAATGTTAAATGCCCATCTTACTAAAATGTTGTCAGTAACATAGTTGTTCACGGAAAACGTTTTAGTGTGGAATTGCGAAGGGGGCGACAGATAGTCCTTTCCAGTACACATGAAATTTTAAGTGCAATTATATACGATCAGCACAAAATGCAGTCAGTTACGTAGCTTGAGAAAGAAAATTTCATTAAACGTGCGGGGATGCGTTACATGGGGAGCGAAGTCAGGAAAGAAAGTTTATGGCTGTTCGCAGATACTCCCGCAGTGGGGATCGTCGTTTGTTAAAGATCGGACGACCCAGTTGCCTTTTGAATACAACCATTGTTTCAGATGTCCCTTTATTAGGAAATAAACTAAATCGGGCGAAGCTGTCCCTAGAATACCGGAGCTTTTACAAAGTAGATTGGCTACTAATCTTTGTGAAACACAGTAAGTTACCAGAATTCCGGTAGTGCCTGTCTGGCAGTGACACATCTTTTACCGACCCATGTATGGCCATCCCCAGTATGGCTATGAATGCTCCCAATATGCAAACTGCGCCAGTTAACCAGTCCGACATAAGGAATGAAACACAACAATCCTCGAAAATGTTTTTCAGATTTTGTAAACTGCGATCAAGGACTCCAGGCGATAACAATGGACTAATCGTAATCTACTGAAAGTACCTCACAATAAATTCTCACCAGGTCCTAAATGTATCAAGCTTCGGTTTCTTGCCTTTAAGCCCGAAATGCAGACTCAAAGCAAATAATATGCCACTTCTGCAATTTCCTCTGATTTTCAGTAAGCTTATAATTTGATAGCCCGTTTTCTTCTTTTCTGCATGGTCTTCTCCGCAACAGTTGGAAAGCCTCTCCGTTCCACAGCCTTTTAATGAAAGCTTGCACACACTCTGTTAAACGGCATCTTCTACGTTTAAGTACACAAGTGTGATTCAGCGGTCTTGGTCCTTTCTTGTTCTGCCAGTTTACCAACGACGTGCGCCTCAGACTTCAGAATGACGAACCTATTATGTGTACTGGAGACTCGGAGCATACCCCTGAATGAGTGATGATAGGTCGTTACATAATTTGTGTTTGCTTGGAAAGCAACTCGCCGATTTATCCTTAATGGTGCAACACATGAAACCCTTGTCTTGTTCGGTCTAAGGATCCCGTGTTGGTTGCCTTCGAAGACCATCCGTCAGAGTTCGACATGGATGGTCATGAAACAATTGTGACGGGAGTTGGTATCGATTGGTTCACACCCTGCACGAACTATCTGCATCTTTTGAAGCATCGGGTCTCGATTTTTACCAAAGGA